GGGGCAGGGGGGGGGGGGGGGGGGCTCCCGAGGACATTCACCTCCCACTTCTCAGGCATCCCGCTCACAACTGCCTCGCCTCGGCGGGGGCGTTTTTTTTCAGACTCAGCGTTTTGCGGGTGCAGCTTTTTTACCTGGGCGCTGTTCTTACCCGGACACGCTTAGCAGATGCCAAGAGGCAGCCCCTGCACGACTCTGTATGACACAAGAGGGTCAGACCGCAGGTGCCCAAATATTCCACCTTTCAAGCTGCAGCCAGCGCCGAGAGCACAGTGGCCTGGAAGGGTCTCCCTCTCTCAGAAGTTGGAGCTTGGAGTACCCCAGGTACCCCAAAGAGAATACAGTTCCTAATTCCTATTTAAAAGTTGTCAAGGTGGGAAAAGGATGAACTGGAGAAAAGGGGTCAGTGGCTCACTTTCCTTTTCTGGGCTGGTTTTCTTAGGTGGTTAGCAAACTAGTAGAAATCAAGTGTGCAAGAGGGACTCAATGAAAGGCAAGAGAAAATAATCCTCTTTCGAAAAATAGGTATGGTGGTATATTCTGGCTGGTACACACCAAGAAGTTTCAGCTTTAATTGTGTGCGTGTGTGTGTGTGTGTGTGTGTGTGTGAGAGAGAGAGAGAGAGAGAGAGAGAGAGAGAGAGAGAGAGAGAGACAGAGGGGGGAAGGGAGGAGCCTTGGATAATTGTCTAGGCATTCAGCCCCAATGGCAATGGAAAATGATGTACATGCCTCAGAACCCTTCACAGTGAATACCTAATAATCGCTATGTCACCTTGGTGAGGAAGATGTCAATGTGATGTGCTTGGCACCCTGAGAAGTCCAGGCACCACTCTCATTCTCCCACAAGTTAAGGCTGATCACTGCAGCACTGGGGCCTGTTCGAATTCCCCCATCCCAAACCCTCCGGTTCAAAACACTTACTTCATGAAGTCTTAAATTTCTGTTTGAGAGCTGCAAATCTGTTTATTTCCTAGAATGGAGGCCATGCCTCAGATCTTTTGAAAAATCAGGGTAAAAGAGAAATGTAAAAGGCAAGAATCATAAGGAAAATAAATGAAAGGGAAGTCTCATTTTGAACCAATTTTCAGTGCTTTGAATTTGGTGTCCTCTCTAACGGCTTCCAGTGGCCACCAATCAGGCTGCTAACGATGAATAACGAATTTCTCAACAAGAATGTCAATGTTCTAATCTAAATTAATAAATATGGATAGTCCTTACAGGGTTGTATATTTGTTCACATTAAAAGCTAATACTTTCGAAAATTTACTTCAAAAAATGATTTCAAAATTCAAAGTGACTTACTAATTACAATAAATGTTAGCAAATCAGGTCATCACTCTTTTTGTCAGGTTAATGGAAAGAAAACATGAATTTTACAAATGCCCTCCAAATGTGAATTATTTACCTCAGGAACAAAGAACACTAATGATCAAAATACAAGTAACTTAATATTTAATTCATTTCATCACGTATATACATAGTAAATATTAAAACCATATATATTATTAAAAAACCAAGTGTTTCAATAATTATCACTGGGCAACAAGTATCTTCAATTTGGTATTTATTTAGATGTTTATGTTACCTGCTATTGTCTATTATATACTTATAAACATTACCTATAGCATAAACTAATTTTTAGAATGAAAACAGAAATCCTATGAATATTTGACATCATCAAATTCATTAGGTCTCATTAGAAATCCAAGCAATAAGCTTAGATATTTTAAACAAATATGATTATACAGCTCCATTGAGTCACACATAATTTTGAGTAATATTGTAAACAAGAGTATAACATTAGATTTTTAAACAATGATCTTTTAAAAGGTAAAAGTTACAAAATAAGCTTAGAAAAAAATTAAATAACCATGACACTTCTATAAATGATCTTCAGTTTAGATTATGATCAAGTATTTATAGTATTACAAACCCCAAATCATAACACAGAACTTGATTATTTTCTTCAGTGTGTCTTAAGTCTCCCCATTAAAGTGTGAATTAAGATGCCGGAGGAAATCCCCCCTGGACGTAATGGATGGTGGGAAAACTGCTTGACAGAATTCACACACTCCAGGTATATGCAGTTCTGAGCCTGTGCCACTTAGTGCCATTAAGTCACTGTCTTGATTAGGAAAGGGCTTCCAAAGCAGCTGCAGGAAACAAAAACATCTTCTGTTACTTGTGCTTCAAGTCAACTTGTATTGAATTTAAAATTTAAATGTCTGAATGAGTTATAAGTGTTTATATATATGAAATTGCTTAATATGAAGGTAAGTTACTTTTCCATAGAATTTGAATGAGGATATTACTCAATTTTTTTCTCCATAAAGGGTACAACTAAACTGTGATTAAAAACATCACTGGTGCTAGGGGTATAGATCAGTGTAGAGTATTTGCCTAGCATGCACAAGGCCCTAGGTTTCATGGGGAGAAAGGGGAAGAAAGAAAAAATAATCACCAGAAACACACACTCCTGAGTTTTATCTTTACATATTTTAAGAATATTGTAGCTTTAGCTCCAGGAATTTTTAGTACTCAAGTTATCTTAACGGTAATAATTTTGGAACAACATTCAAGACTTCAGACATGTTTTTAAAATTTTACAATAGAAACCTTGAATTACAGGGGGCTTATTTAATACATGGTAAACTAGATTTGTTGTGTGGATGTACCTTAACCATAGTAATTTAAATTTTACTACTACTTATAAACAAACATATAATAAATAAATCATATATGAATCAGCATTTTGATTTTTAAAAAGTAAAAATTTAACACTACTAAATAGAGTCCATTGATCTGGTCTTTTTTATGGGGGGGGACACTGGTTTTTGAAAACTTACATATTTAAATTAATTCAATAAAAGCTAGTATCACATGCACACTTCTGACTTCTAACTTTGCTTCTATTATTTAATGTATAGTTTGGCTTTCATAGTCTTTCTGGTGCAGAAAACAATGAAATTGACCAAGAGCTGCCCAATTAATTACAGACAATCCTAACGTAATAGAACCACCTCCAATACAATCACCAGCAAATAAATGAAAAACTGCATGTTTTCTTTTTGATAACTACATTTATTGTTTTAAAAACTTTTAGAAGATTAACATTTAGTTTAATAGGTACTTGATAACATTGATTAGAAAATGACTTATTTTCTGAATTGAATAAACTAAGTTATTTAAAAAAATTTCTCCCTTACCTTGACATAGTTAAGTTACTCTGCTATAGCTAACTTCTGATATTTTAAGGAGAATCACTTTAAATCCTATTTAAAGATACTCCTTTATGTTCCTATTATTGCTGTGTTTTTAAATGAAATATAGCCTAATGCAGATCCACACAATTTTCATTCCCTTAACTTCTTTCTGGTTAACTAATCATTTACATAAATAGTATATCATTACTTGAATTATTTGGGTTTCATGATATTACTGTCTTCTTATAAACATTTTACTGGGTAGATGTGTACAATTGGAATAAAATTTAAGACATCAAAATATATTCATATATTTTTAGTATATAAGACATAGTTAACATGGACTCAATTCTTTTCATAAAAAGTGGCCATTCTGCCACAAAAATAGTAATATCTAAAATAAATGTTATGAAATTTGGGGCAAAATAACTGTTTTTAGAGAAGCTTTTCTTCCATAAAAGAGAAGTCAGAATTTTGAGTATATAAACAAAACCTAGAGTTAACTATATTCAAATATTACTGTTTCGAGTTTAAGCAAAAAAGTACTAATAAAAATTAATATGGTTATAAAGAGAAGATTACAGAAAATTTTTGCTAAGACCTATAGAATAACTATAGACTTATAGAAATTAACTTAGAAGCAATTTAGCTTGGTAAGCCAATATTCCACAGCTAATTTATCTTCAAAGTTCTTCACCATTAGGAGTGATTAATTCACATTTGATCGCTTGATAGACTTTAGTTGTATTTTAATAGCTGACTCAGCAAAAGAAACAAAATAAAATAAAAATAAGCCAATATATTTTAGTCTTTGCTATAATAACCGAATATGTAGAATAGGTACTTAGTAGTAATTAATGATATAAAGTAGCTTGTAATATGTAATCAAAATTTTATTGCTCTGTTACTGTTAACTCAAGAATTTTGTATTTAACGTATGACCTTTATTAACAGTAATATAGTAAAATGTTTCTAGAAACTCATTTTAAGAAAAATTCTTTCAATTGTAAAGTAACATGGCCTTCAAATCAAACTAATTTCTTTGCTTTTTCTGCCAAAATATCAATTATCTAACCTTATGCCCCATGTCGTATGACAGCTCAACACCAATTCTCCTGCATTTTTTAAGCTGAGTACTTTTCCATCAAGTTGTAATCGCATACCAGCTGTTTCCCTTGCTGCAGTACAGAAAGCAAATGTACAATGCAGGGTGCCATCTACTGAAACATGAATGCACAGACTAACTAGTAAAAGAACAAGCAAGAAATATGGGGAAAAAATAACAAGCATTAGAACTGATACAGTTCACAGCTCCACGGGAATTCTACTCGCAATAAATGAAATCGTGTAATTTGTTTCATTTAGTTAGAACTATAACTGAGGTTATGATGTACAGTAGGGTACAATGTAGAACTTAAGTTTATAATTAAGGCTCCTTAACAGCAATGCTTAGTTCTCCCCAATATTAAAAAATATAATACAACTTGACTATCGCCTTCTTTGCGTGCTGATTAAAAAGTCTGAGTACTTAAACTCAAAGGATATTAAGGTTTTTTTTAAGTATCTCAAAGCAAGGATAAAAAAGTATGCAAGCTATGTATTTATGTCTATGTTTACACAAATTCTGTTTATTGTGATAATTATATATTTTTCATTTGCCTTTAGGCATTAAACAACTTTTTTTTTTTTTTTTTTTTTTTTTTTAATAAGAATCAGTCTGTGATAAAACCTGAATCTACAAGGGAAGGTTGGTAGGAGTGGATTGGTAGGTTGTAAGTATCTTTCAATCATATGTTTAATGAGACTATTTAAGAAATATACTGGGCTACATGTTCAGTGCCAGATTAGCATCCCAAACCAAAACCCTACAGATCTACTTATTATATAACTGAGACTGTAATATAACTATTAACTGAAAGACAGTTCACTTTCTGAGAAATAGGAATATATGGTGAATTACTTATGGGAAACTGTTCAAGTGAAGGTAAGTATGCTATATACATATATGTATATACGTATGCTTTTAATTTTAAAAACATCATTGGTTTCAAATTTTGAAATTTAATAAAGAAACTGGTTATAATAGTGATGTTGAATAAGCAAGATTTTAACAGAGACCAAGAAAGTAATACTATGCTAGATATGGATAAGGCATACAAGAATTTAAAAATCTGTCATAAATTTTATAAGCTTAATCATATTTATATTTGTAAATTCCATGTCCTTTACAACAGGACTTCAACATTTTAGCAAAAAGCCTTAGCTTGTGCTAATGACTAATTTAAAAAGGGTATCCAGTGACCTAAAGGAGATGCTTATCTGTACATGTATGGCAAAATGTGTATTCACACATAATGAAATATTTGTTATTGCAAAACAGTTACCTGCTGTGGTCCTCGGATAGCTTTTCCTGGGGAATCCAGTGAGGGAAAAGGTGCATCAGATGGGTCCTGAAGTGGGAATGTATTTACATATAACGCATTATGGTCTCCAGGGGGCAAACACAAAGCTCTATCCAGAGTTGTCCTGATAAAATTGTTAACAAGATTTGAAGGTTTTGATTTGTCAGTTGTTTTAAGATTTTGTATAGCTGAAGCTATGGGATCAAGTCCCTGAATTTCAAATAAAATTTCCTCTGATTTAACAGCATTTCCTTGGTTGTCTCTGAGCTCTATTTTGAATTTGTCTGGACATGCTGCCTCACGTGTGGCAGGGCCAAGGATGTTCGGTCTCTCTGCGGTGCTATGTAGGAAAGTAGAGTCACTGTCCACAGGTGGAAACTTGACATTGAATTTAGAAAGTGATTCAAAAGAGGTGTCTTCCTCATCTTGACCCAGTCCTCTTGGTGTGACAGATGTAATGCATGGTGCAACTCTATTTATATCATCTTTAGCCTGAGGCTTAAATAGCGCTTCTTGTTTATCTGTTTTATCTGTACACTGTACAGGCACGGAGCACTGTGTTTCTGCAGGAAAAAGAACACAAAAGGGAAATAGTCACAGTGCAATACATTCTTTAAAATCTGTTCAGTCAGCTCTGGGCAGATGAGTATTATTTTTTCTTTAGAGGACAACTGGGATTTTCACATTTGCTACCATCTTACACAGGAATATTAGCATTCTCCAGCAGGTGAACCGGAATACAGCTTATGAGTCAAGATTTAACTACTTTCTCTTTTCCTAGGTCTTTTGCTTTAAACGCTGTATCTTGTTCATAGTTACACTGCTCTACACTTAAAAAAATTTGGCTTTTAGTGTATACATTTAAACATTTTGTCAGTAATGGAAGCTGCAACCGTGAGCTTGCTTAGATAAGTAGTTAAAAGGTAAAATCTTTACTAGATATATATTAGGTAATTTATTATTTACTATATGGATTAATATCAATGTGTAACTAAGCGTACTCCTAGTCAATTTAGCCACTGTCTACTCTCAGTAATCCATGTGAGAGAGTGGTAAAGCAGGTTGGAAAGAGGAAAATAATGAAGGCAAAACGATAAAATTTTATGAAAAAAAACCCCAACTACTGAATATACGATTTTCTTATATTTAAAAAAAAGGCCTCTGGGATTGGGGATGTAGCTCAGGGGTAGAGCACTTGCCCAGCAGGCAAGAGGCCCCTGACTGAGTTCAAGCCCTAAAATGTGAAAACAAAACAACAAACAAACATCTGTACACAAAAGGTACTTATCAAGCAAGTACCAGGACCTTCGTAGTTCATTTATCTGAAGGCACTTATCCAAGAATTCAGCTCTCTCACACAGTCAAAAGCTAGGAAGCAAGCATAACTTCTGTGGAGTCAGAATTAGACCTAAAAGGTCCATAGATATATGAATTTTGCTCCTATTCTCATTTTATATTTATTATAAAATAGGTCCTTAGCTCATAGTTTACTTGAAACAGCAAATTAAAAAAACATAGTTGTTAAAAGCAGATTTAAAAAAAAATTCAGTGCTGAAAGCATGGAGGAGGCAATAAAAACAAATATATAGATATAAGAACTCAGAAAATACTGCAGTCTAATGGGGGCCAATAGGAGTGATATTTTGCCATAAACAAACAAAAAACAATAATTTCCATGTTGACAGTCCTGAGAGTCTAGAAAAGCTAAATTATGTTCCACAGTGTCAACTGAAGGAGGCAGTGAAGTTGGTAACATATTTTTGTTCAGTAGCAAGTAGTAAAAAAAATTAAAATTAGCATCTTAAATAGATTGTTATTATCAAAGTGATATATTCATAAATGGAGACTTTGCCAAGGATGTAGGTTGAAGTAGACAGGTTAGCAGGCACCCAACACGTCAGTTGCTTTGATCTTTGGTGTCTCATGACACCCTTCTTTCTTTCGCCACCACACATTTCCAACATAAAATATCTTCTGTACAACGTGTAGTACAATGAGACTAACTTCTTCATTTAATCCTATTACATATCTACTGCCTCTCTTTAGTTCACACTATCCCCCTCTTACAGGATTATCACAACAGCCTTTGAACTGCTTCCATGCCTCTAAAGTTATCTCACATCCAATTTGTTTTCCACGTTGCAACTTTTCCTCCTACCATTCCTTCTCTGAGTAGTTTTTCTAAAGTTCAAATCTGGTCACGTTACTTTCTTAATAAAAGCTTTTCATGGCTCTCCAAAGCCTTTGGCCCTCATAAAAGTCACATAAAATTATTTGGAATTGGTCCCTGGCCACTTTTCCACACTCATCTTTCAGCATACTGGTTTTATTCCATACTCTAGCTATAAAGAACTTTGTATAGTTTCCCAAAAAACTACGTGCTTGTCTCTGGACCTTTGTATACGTACTGCCTAATATATCCCTTTCCACTTCTCTTTGCTAACTCTCATTTGTCCTTTATATCTTGATTTAGACATTAGTTTCTCTGGATGCCTCTCCTAGGACTGTTGGGTAACCTGAAGATCGAACAATCTGTGTTATAATTTCAAGCACACCTCTTTTTGTCCCATTAAAGTAGATTTTTTTGATGTCCTAAACTATGTTCTGTTAAGTATCCTGCCTAGTGCCTGGCACATAGTAGGCCTCCAATAAATGAATTCTGAATGGATCTGCATTTTCTTCAGAGTCTACGATAATAACCTACATTTATTAGATACCCTGTCTGTGACTAGGAGTGATACAGTAACTGAGATTCAGCTCAATTGTTTAGCTGGATTTCTTTGACCTCTGAGTTCTTAAAGTCCATTAGCTTTCAAGTAGTCATTTTTCCTGGCAGTAGACTTGAAGATGGCAAGACACTGTAGGAAACAGTAATCAAAATCTGTGACATGTGAGAAGGAGGAAAGCTTATCAAATGATCTTCACAAGAACAGGGTGAATGCTTTAGAATCTGGTGCTGCTGCTAATGGCAACAACTATTAACATTAATAGCACTCCCATGCACTGTTATAATTGTTGTATGAGCATGAATTCATTTAATATTCAGAATAATCCCTAGGTAGGTACTCTCATCCCACGTTAGACACGATTACTCCCAATTTATGTGTGAAGAAACTGGGACATGGAGAGGTTAATTCCAAGCTACACAGCTAGTGAGTGGTAGATCTGGCACTGGAACCCAGGAAGTCTAGCTCTAGAGTCTGTGCTCAGAACCATTATGCTAAATTGAACATGTTGGTTTCTATATATAGAGAGGAGTCCTCACATTGACAGAAATGTGCTTGGAATTACTTTCCTAGCAGTTGACCTATCCCCCTTGCAAAGAAAACATGGAAAAATGAAACAGCTGCAATAAAGCAGTTATTTTCTTTCAGCATGGCTAGCTGGCATACAACCTCAGCCTCATAAAAATAATTTCAGTTAATCTGATCACACTGTGATAGTAAATATCTATTAAAAGAAGATTTAAATCTAAGATTCCTAAAATTACTAGAAATTCAAGATTAGAAAATGAAATACTCAAGGTGCACAAAAATACTCGTCATCCTGACACCACACTGAGAAAAAAGATTAGGTGAGCAAATAGCTTTGTATTTGTTTCAAGAAAACTTATTTTTGCAAGGAAAAACAAAGAAGATGAGAAACAATTTTAGATGTCCAAATTTTAAGTACAAGCTATCCATTTAGCTATTTCTCACTTTTGTCATTGTGAATACTGACAAAAGAAAAGTACTTGATGGTGGTTTGTAACCCCTAATCCTATACTCTCTCTTAATCGTCAATGGAATGAGACCTTCCTTTTGGATCAAATACTGCTTTTCTCCTGAAGACATATTTTCTTAAACACACATTTCTATCTTTATCTCTTCTCAAGGCTATTGCCATATGTGGATGAATAGAAAAAAATACAGTAATAAAAAGGAAATGTATACTTCTACTAACTCAGCATTTTAAAATGAATTATATTTAGTTCTTTAAAAGTAAAAATCAAATTTTAATCACAAAATATGAATACTATTATATATAATCTGTGAAATAGTTTATATTTTTATTCAATGTAGCATACATACTTGGTAACCCTGAATAGGCATCTTTTTCCAAAATATTTTTTTCTTTCTTTCTTTTCCCTTTCATCTGCTACTGTCAGGGCATAATATTTGGTATTTTGATTTCTGTCTGGACAGAGCAAAATTTCACTGAAATCTGTAGTACAGCAGATCTACAATATTTCAAGGATAATATTCTATTACTTGTGACACAGTTCATATAAACCATAAGAATAATGTTAAGAAGCGGTTTTAGTAAGGAAGAAACTAAAGTTAAACACTCAGTGTTCTAGTTGACAGATAAATACTCAGGTTCAGACCTGTGCAATTTAAAAATGGTCAAAGTATTAAGCCATTGATAATGGGGTACTTCTCTGTGTAACAAAGGATGTATCACCATTACAATGTTTTGATAAGATGTTGATGTTCAAAAAGCATGCTTATGAATTCGAGGCTGTAGCTAGAATATTTGAAATAAAAATAATGTTTACTTCACACACAGCTAGTAACTTTACTCTGTAAAAATGATCAATTTTTAATGAAAATGACAATAAGTTAGATGGAGAAATTAAGTCTTTTGGGGGAAGGTACAGTAAGCAAGGGGAAGAAACAAATTATGCCTATCTACAAAGATTGTCTTATTTCTTTCTTGCATCATTGTATAACTTTACGAAAAACAAGGTGGTAGTTGCAAGAAGTGAATTTACACTATAAGGATTTTTAAACAGCTCAGATGTAAGAGCTGTAAGAAATGGAAAGTGATCTTTAAATAAAGGGGTGCTAGTCATCGTTGTTGCAATCTCTCAAGAGTGAAAGCTGTAAATCACACTGCTTGGGAATTATTTGCATACTACCTCAAATCACAAGGGTAAAGAATTTATCAACAGAAATGATCATTCACTTGTCTTTGGAGGTGCATGGCTGCCAGACTTAATCCCTGTCATTTTGCTATTAATATCTAACAACTGAAGCAAACACCAGGAAGCCTGAGATTTTAGGGAAGGGTTGAGCTTTTAAAAAACACTGCAACACATGTGAAATAGATGTTCCAAGTTGTATTTTATACCAAATTTGTATTTTGTGCCTCCAACAAAACTGATACTCAGGAAATATGCATGCTACATTTTTATTCTTGAATCAAATTATCAGAAACTAACCACAATATTCAATGACATTTCAGGCAGAAGGTAAAAGCAAACCTGATGTGATAATTTCATTTAACTCACATGATAGTGTTGCTTCAAGGTTACTTACTAACATATAATTTAATATTTAACATGACCCCCCAAAAGCAACCGAAAAGTCTGGGAGATAATATCCTATACTTATTTTGTAGTTTTTCAAGATGGGACTTCTCATTAAGTTGAATAGTAATTAGGTTTTTCAGGTCATTTTGATATGTATACTACCACATAGATGAAAAGAGAGAAAAAGCCATTAATTACATAATGCCTTACAGAATTTAAAATAGCACATACTATTCAAAAATGAGTGGGTGAGGGGCATGATGCAGATATTTAACAATATAAGCATTCAGAAATACTTTTATGTTCAAATAAATCAATTTCAACAAATAAAATAACTAAGTTAGATAAAATCTTACCAGTCGCAGTGTCTGGTATATTAAGTTTGCTTAAGTGGTCTTTTTGTGCTTTTGCAAGCATGCATACTCTATGAAATTCTTCTTTTAGATCCCAGAAAGTCTTCTCTAAATTATCCCTAAAAAAAAAAAAAAACCAATATTTTAAAATATAAGGCTATAACCAATCATTTAAAATTAGTAGGAAATGTCTCCCAAACAACTCTTAAAGTCTGAATAGCCAGGCAAAGGGTAAGTGATAAATTAAAAGTTCTAATATATAAATGTAGTACAGACTTGTATATCTACTTATTCATATATCACAGTGATGCTAGCTGTATTATTTTCACATTAAAAACTTTAATGCATTAATGTTTGTTCTCTAAAAACATAAATAGAATATTAACTACCAACTATGGTAAGGTTCACATTATGATTCACCCATAAAAATAATATAGCTTATCATATGTGGTCTATTGAAATAACTAAACTTTACAGAATTAGCTTTTAGATCCAGCTCTGCTATATTGTAACTGTATAACTTATTTAGGTCATTTTAATATGTAGGAGCTTTGGTTTGATCTCTTTTAGTTCTAAAAGAGGCAGCTCATTTTTTACAAGCCCTAAAATTGAAAAATATATAAACATAAAATACTGTATATTTCAATATTTGTAATCTAAGAGTCAGCAAAGAAAAAAGGATGCAAAACTACCTTTCATGGATTAAAGGAATGCCAGGACTCCTTGATGAAGTTTCTTTTCTAGGGAAAGAAATGTCTTGTCTTCTGACCTTAAAGACACAAAAGTGACTACACTATAAGTTGCTTCCAAACTCAAATAAGATTGGGTTAACAGAAAACGCAATGGAAAATTTGTCTTCTTTATTGAAAAACAAACTGAGTCAGTACAATACATTATATAATGTACAATATTTTTAAAGAAATGAGATCAAGGTTAAAGCAAAATGAAAATAGGACGTATGAAAATAAGAAGTATTTTTGCTAAATTTTCACTTACTATCTCCAGTCCTGATAATCAAGAAATTTCCCAAATTCAATTATTGGCCAAAATTGCTGCTCTGATCACCAATGATCTCATATGATCAGAAACTCAGGCAAAAATTATGCTAGATCTTTTAACATTCAGTAACTATGGTCTTTATATTTAAATAAATCATATTTGTCTTTTGTTATAGATGCTTTCTACAGAATGCAGCTGTAGTAAAGGAAAGAAAACCAAGCTACAGCTTCTTATTGTTTAACAAGTATTTAAATGTCTATCAAGATAATGCAATTCTGTATTGAAACTGCTTCAACACAAGTTCTTGCCTTTCACTCCCACCCTGTGGCTTTCAGTGGTATTACATGTATTCTGACATTTAAAAATCAACATTAAAGAAATGTTGGCAATAATCTATTCTAAGCTTCGGATTTTTAAACATTTTTGCTTATATCTAGAAAGCTTTGTGTATTTTCTGAAGCTATACATTGGAAAGTTCTTAGATATGAATTCCTAATATATTTTAATTCAGAATTCATCTCTGTAATTTTGCTTTTCAAGTTTCTTTTAATTTCTTAGTCTTATTTGTTCTTTAAAACAAAGACAATTTTACTTGTTTCTTAAAATTGATACGTTATTCGATTTATTTAATTTACTGATCTAATTTACATCTTTTATACATACTCTAAATATTCAGGGTATTATTTTGTAGTGGTTCAGAATTAGAAAATTGAAATTTTGGCAATGTGATTTTATGTACCATCAGATTGATGCAAATCAGATAATTTTGCTGCTGCATAATGTTTGTCTAACAGACATTTAGGCCATGTCTTATGTATTAAAAGTGCCTTACTGAGCTTTGTAAGGTGTCACAGCAGAGGACTTTTTCACAGTTTGTTTTTAAAAGTCATAGATGAAGTTTCTTTTTATTGTTCTGGGCAATTTATAGTCTTAATGCATTTTAGTGTAGACAAGGAAAAAAGGTAACATTTTTAAGCTACCCAGCCATTTAGGACATTACAACAAAACAAACTGTTAGAAAGATTCTATTATTAAACTATATCAACAAAATCAGAGAAGAGGTATATTAAAAGAAAAACACCTGATAATTTAATGATAAACAAATTATAAAACACATAATTACATTAAATTGAAAGACTTCCTTTTAAAAATTGTTACTAAAAATTCTCAATATATTATTTTTTAGGGGATTGAAAGAACCAAAATGTCCTCTGTAATTCTAGTCTAAAGCAAAATAGATTGCAGAAAGTGGTAAAGACAGTACCATAGTTTCTGATGTTTTGATTTTGACATAAACTAGGAATAACTGCTTCTGAGGTTAAAGAAGCATTTAAAACTAATGTGAATGCACAGAGTTTAAGGAAAAGAGGGGAAAATGATAAGCTTTTGTTTATCTTAGTAAATAAGTGGCGACAATTTCTGTGATATTTAGATCTGATAACTAGTGTGGGTGGATGTGTTTCAAAAAGGTTCTTTGGGTGGACTGGCAGCAGGTAAAGGGAAGACTCATTAAGGAATTTCTACAAAGTATCTAAACTAAGGTCTTGAACTTTGCAGTAAAGAATACAGCTTTGCTAACTCTTACTCTAATTTTTGTTCTTATTAGGAAAAATATTACTGGATATATTAAACAATATACTATACCTTCTATCATTTATGCCAAATAAATCTGTCAACATATTTGAAATGAAAATTCTGAGCCTCAGTGTCCAAGTAAAATTTTCTAGATGAAATCTCTTAAAATGTTAGTTGGGGGAAAAAAAAAAGGTAAACTTTCTGACAGATGTTCTGAAGCAGGGTTTAGATAGTATGAGTACTGCATGTTAATTATGATTTTTGATTGGCACAATTTATTGAAGACAATCATTTATTTTTCAAGGGACTTAGGATTAATATAGTGAATTGCAACTTCAACACTTTTCCCAGAAATTCAGACATTCTTTTCAATGCCAAATTATCTTACTTAAGATTACAGTTTGTGGAATATCCTAGAGAAAGGAGATCTTGCATTTTTTTTTTTTTTTTTTTTTTTTTTTTTTGGTACCAGGGATTGAACTCAGGACCTTGCACTTGTGAGGCAAGTGGTGGAACCACTGAGCTAAATCCCCGGCACAAAGGGGATCTTTTATTTTAGGAAGAAAAAGTTATTGTAATTTCAAATAAAAAGCAAGGGAATTTTGAACATTTTAGATTTTAAACATTCAACAAATGAATTTATTTTGAGGTACTAAGACTTAAAATACTTAACATCATAAACTGTTCCAAGTACTAGTTTGGAAGTGTGGAACTTGTGGACTGAATGCTGAAATAAGTTTTATATGTCATCTACTCTTCCAATATGGCTCTGGGTAAGTCATTCAACCAAACCCATTAAGATAAGCCCATCTGAAACAGTTGGAAGATATTGTAAACTGTTTCCTTAAATTTCCTCTTATGTGAATTGGCAGAATTTTAATTTAGTGTAGATGAAGCTTCTCATAAATGGGTATTTAATAAAAATATGTATGTTCAGTGATAGTTGAATATGCAATGATATTTAAGGAGAAAAAGAAGCTAATATCTCATTAGTTCAAAACCAGGTTTATTCTTTATGCAGAGACATTAGAAATTGGGCTGTGGATGCAGCTTAGTGATAAAGTTCATATCTAGTATGCATGAAGTCCTGGATTTGATCCCTAACAACACACACACACACACACACACACACACACACACACACACACACACAAATTTCTGTGTTGCTTTCCAGGATGTCTTAGTAATCGATCTTTCAAAGAAAGAAATGTATATTTTTCTGAACACTCGTCTTTGTTGTAGTTGGTACTGAAAGTGGAAGTATTTTATTCCTTTTATAAAATAATTTTTAAAAATACAGAAAGGAATGAAAAGTTTTCATTTGGAATTACATTTTTCTTACAAATTTGAACAATCAATATCAATAAAATCAGATTGATTTATGGAACTTTAAAGATAGTGACAACTCATTAATATAATGTAGATTCTCTCATATACACCGAAACGAAACTTCAAAAAGCTAATTTAATTTTATTATTTTTGCATTGCTGGGGATGGAATTCAGGGCCTACACAAGAACTCTACCAAAAGGCCAATTTTAAATAAGGGAGATAAGTTTTCAATGATACACATTTGAACTCTTGTAGCAATATCTATCAAATCAAAGAGGTCTCTGAAATTGCAGTTGAGATTCTTGAATGCAAAAGGAATTTTTTAGGTGGTTTAGTTAATTACGTGTAGTCAATATTTTATTTAGTTTTTGGGTGCTCAACAGAATTATACTTTCAAAACATAAAAGAAAGTATGCTCTTATTTTGAACAATGTAAACCAAGAAATTAGCCAACATAAAATGTGATGGACTGGTAAAGAGAATATAAATTGTGAAAAGCTTTAATAAAAATTTTGATAAAATTCATTAAAGAAAAGAGTAGAAAAAGACTGATGGTAAGGATTCACTTATCTTCTAGATTTTTTGAAACTTAAGAACAAAATGGCAAAGGACAAACTAAAGATGAATGTTTCCTTGACAGTTTTAGATATACAAAGACAAAAGACGTTATGGGGAAGTCAAGCACTGGATTTGGCTAAATTAAGAAGAAAGCGAAGAAAAAAGATTAAGGTAGAAAAAGGGACCAAAAAAAAAAAAAAACCCTTCAAAAACAGATCTGATGACAGTAAATATAAAAGAACAGTGAAATAAGTCTGAAGGCAAAAATAAAAAAATTGTATTTAATCTATAAGAATTTATGGACATGTGAAATCTGTTTCTTTCACCCTCATTAACATTCCTGAAAATCTAGCAAAGCAATGGGAACAAAATCCTAGGAGACTCGTCTGTTCTGCATGACGTGTGTGAGGCAAACCCACTGCCAGCATGGGAACAACTCCAGGGCAAAATGGGAACCATCCCAGAGTTCTGAAGGAAGTGGCAAGAAAATAAACAATATAAAAATAAAATTAAACACCTCAATTACTTCCAAGTTCTTTACAGGTTCTGGTTTAATGTAAAGCCCCCAAAATCTATCAATTCAATGCTACCATAAGGCATATATATTCTTTAACATTAATACTTTTCTAATATTTGTCTTTTAAGTCTTTCAATTTGTGTTAGGTACCTTCTGCATATATCTTTCTGATTTTTTCTTTTCTTTTAAAGACAATATCTTGATATGTAATTTAGCTGGGCTTGAACTCACTCTGTAACCCAGATTGGCCTCAAACTCATAGCAACCCTCTGGCTTCAGCCTCATAAATGCTGGGATTACAGTCATGTGCCACCACAGGGAGATTGAAACTATTAACTTAAGGGGTAGAAGTCTTTAACTGTGAGAATACTTTCTCATGGAAAGCAGAAACTACATAACTTACATATTTACATAAGGAAGTTTTCTCATACTTCCTTTATGCCATCCCCAAACACCACATGTTAAATAAACATATTTGGGGAAACTCCTTTTCTTTAATCATAAATGTAAAGTTAAGCCATCACATTGATGAACAGAAGATGTCTTCTTAAAAATAGCAATTTGCATGTATTAATTAACTTGATCCATATAATCTTATGTATTGAATACTTAAGATTATAAATTTGTGTGAAAACTTCAGCTTGCTTTAGAGAAATCAAGTAATTTGCCTAAAGCAGGAGATGCAGTAGCTGTGAATGGAAGGCAAACCTTTCGACCCCATCCTTTAATGACCCAGCCACAGTGCTCAGCTGCTAAGAGAAGCTAAGTGGTAGCTATCTAGCATGGTGA